AGAGAGAGAGAGAACGAGGGGGGTAGAATAGTGGATTAGTCAGAGCGGAAACATTATATTTGGTTTTACAGAATCTCATATTTCAGGCATTATAAACAGAAATTGATGACAAATCAGAAAACAAGTTGCTGTATTGCTGGATATGGAATGTTACGTTAACTTCTAAACAGTGACCCAGACAGAACTATTAAAGAACAAACTAGATGTACTTTGAGGTACAGACCTATCATATTTATTAATTTATAACGCCTTTACGGCGGAAACCCTTAATGAGAATTTATTTTAGAAATATGAATTCTTTGGTTACCTTTTTTTAAAATCTGCCTTCTTTATTGGACTCTCAAGTACTGCAATTAAAAAAAATACATAGACATATATTTTGTATACTATATACATAATTTTTTTTCCTTGAGAATATAACATGTTTTAGAGTCTACTGTGGGCCTACGAAAAACTTGTTCTATAATGTTATTGGTTAGGACTACAGACAGACTTGATTGTTTTGGTTAAAACGTTCCATTTACAACATTCTTTTAAAATGATTCGAAGGGAGACGTTTCAAGGGTTACGTTTTATTCTTTGAATGAAGCTTTTTTCTCGCTCGTCAAATAAACTGTGTTTGCGGTGATCTTTGTCAAGTTATAAATTAGCAAGAAAGGTCTGAAAACTTTTACAAAATTTGGTGCACACATAATTTACTTTTTAGGTGTTTTTTATTTTATGTTTGCTCTCATAAAAAAAAATATGATCAGAAAGACTTTTGGCTATAAATTGTTTGAAAGCTCTTTACTTGAATAATTCGCTGCAAACAATGTGATATTTTGTCACGGACAAAAAGTTTAAATACCGGTACTAAGACATTTTATTTTGTGAAAAAAACAATCAAGAAATCTGCGTTGCGCCTTAAAAAGCAAAAAAATCCAAAAAGCAACGACAGCCGTATCGTTTCCTATCGTTTTCGAGAGATTCATATTATAGAATTCTGGAATGATTTAAGAAATACTTATAAATCATCACCCCTTTTCAGAAAACGGTCCCATAATGCCCACTATATAATCTGCAATCACTAAAAGAAATTCTTTTTTTTTTTTAATTTGGAGGGGGGGGGGGGGGGGGGAGGCGGAGCAAACCCAGTGTTTTAATGACAGTCTCAAAGTATGTATTTCATCCAGTCCAAATTTCATGAAAATCAACATGCATTTTCAGTGTGGGCTGCCAACTTAATCTCGGATTTTGCCCGACAGAAAGAAATTAGAGTATCAAAGAAATGTTTGGTGACGTTTGCATTTTTCCTCAGTCCAGTGGGAACCTTAACTATTTTATGTTTCCAATAACAAATGATAATCCATTATTGAAAGTCGAAAAGTAATTTCATCAAAAACTGCCTCTGGAAAATGGCCTCTTATAATCAACCAGGCGACATTGTGGATCTAGAAAAACTACAAAGTAAGGGCTCTAATCACTGCTTTTATTCTTTCACCGGAGACCACTACTATTTTTTTCTCTATGACTTCTACATGTTGTTGCTCTTTTCTCTCTTTAACCCAGACCCAGATAATGGATATCACCCAGCAATTCGTTCTCCTATTGCTTGGAGCTTTAACCGTCAAAGGTGAGTAGGAGCACACAATAATTATATAGGGGAGTTTTGATGGGTTACAGAAGTTCATTAGTCGATATCTGTAGCTTCCTTTTGAACTTCTCTCTCCCTCAATACAATACGACAGCGAGACTGCAGTAAAGAATGTAGGGCACAGAGCTGAACTGTCTTATCAGCAATAACAGGTGGAATCTTTGGACTTGAAGCATGGCCTTAGATCGAAGGATATGTTCGGAGTCTGATTTTGGAATGATCTGTCAGTCTGTCTGTCTGTCTGTCTGTCTGTCTATCTCCCCTCTCTTTGCCTTCCATCCCCCCTCTCCCCCCCTTCTCTCTCTCTCTCTCTCTCTCTCTCTCTCTCTCTCTCTCTCTCTCTCTCTCTCTCTCTCTCTCTCTCTCTCTCTCGCAACATTCACACTCATTAGAAAACTGGCAAGGCCCAGTAATAGTTTATATCAATGTCTGGGTCAGCAAAATCTATAGTCTTCATTTTCTTCCTTTTTCCTGCTAGTGACCTTGGGGCATTAATAAATTAGGCCGCCAATGATGCAAGCACTTCTCTTTAAGACTGTTCTTCAGACTAGAATTACCAGTAATTTACCTTCTCGGTTTGATTCCATTTCGCAACATCAATTCCCCCCCCCCCTATACACACACTCCATCGTATACAGATTATACAATAAAGACCTTTATACCAGTAGCATTATATAACAGACTCTGTGTGAAAGAAAAACGAGACGATTTCAAGCAACTGCATCTGCTTTTGTGCTTGCCCATTTTTTTCAACATACTCAAAAGCGTTGAGAAATGAAAAAAAAATAACAACAACAAAACAACAACAACAAAAACCGACTAACTAGCTGGAGAACAAATGTGTGTTCCTGGAAGCACTTTTATAGCTTTTTGCAATGCGGTAATTTATACATCCTCAAATAGATCAGCAAGCCCATAGTTCGTCTCAGTATTTGTGTTTGCATCTCAACACCAATATTACTTTCGTGACAGAGAGACCTGAAAAAAATGTATAAATCTTGTGAATTTGCCACCATCGTTGTTGGTAATTTACTAGTCCTATTGTGGCGTCGGTAGCTTAGTGGTTAGGCTACTGGACCCCTAATCGTGAGATTCCGGGATACTTGCTTGTTCCGACGTCATATCCTGAGGAAAGGCATTTTACACGAATTTCCCAACTGGATAGGTCCTTTCGAAAATGGAGGTTAAACTCGGAGACCCCACCTCTTACATAACATAATTGTGTTGAAGAGGACGTTAACCCTATATCTTTTCTTGTTTTTCTCGAAGTCTCATGAAAACGTGAACCATCATCTTGTGAGAACAACCCATTAAGGATTTTGTGATTACGAGAGGCATACAATTTTTTTTACCTGACCATGAAGGAATACAGGTAGAGAGCTGAAATTTTGGGGTGAAAGACAACAGTCATCTTCCTATAATGCATGTAAATTTTGTGGAATTTCATATTTACTGGTTTTAGCACCAGAGCACTGTAAGTGAAAGGGGATATGTTGTTCTCCAGTTTCAACATAAAATGGAAAAAAAATTGAGCACAGGGCAGTAAGGAAGTTTTGTTCTTCCAAGGCAAGTAACAACATAATATTTTTACGGAAATGTGTGCGGTATATGGAAATGATTGCCCATCCTATGCTGTGGTACATTTTAGGTGTAAAAAACGATCAAATGCGGCTTCATGGACATGGAAGATGACCTCCGTGATTGTCGCCCAGTGACAGCAACAATAGAAGAGAATGACTTGAAAATCAAGAAACTTGTGTAGGCGGGTGACAATCGAACGTTTGAGCAAAAAAACTAGGCTTAGCCTTGGATCAGTTGAACGAATCCTAAATTAACATTTGAAAATGACCAAGGTTTCTATAGATGGGGCCCAAGTTTGTTGGCTCCTCCTAAAAAAGTGCAATGTATGGATTGTTGTCGAGAATTGCTTGGTCTGTATGAAAAGGATAAAGCTATATTTTTAGAAGACTTGTAACCAGGGATGAGACATGGGTCCACCACTACGATCCTGAGTCAAAATCTGCATCAGTGCAGTGGAAATCACCCTCTTCTCCAACACCAAAGAAGACAAAGGTGCACCCATTAAGTGAAAAAGTGACGCTATCAGTGTTTGGGGATCAAGAAGGCGTGATTATGACAGACTATCTTGAAAATGGACATACAGTCACCGGAGACCACTATTCTAACCAGCTAAAAAATTACGAAGGTTTATTTAAGAAAAAGGAGAAGAAAGATCCGAAAAGTCATTTTGCTGCTTCATGACAACGCACCAGCACAAAAGTCAAGAAAAGCTGCAGAAACTGCACAAAAAAGTGGCTATGAAATTATGCAACGTCCACCCTATTCTCCAAATTTAGCCTCGTCTGACTTCTTTTTATTCCCCAAACTGATAAAAAGATTTAAAAAGAAGGCATTTTGAAAATGATGTTCAAATCAAAGAAGCAGTAGAGGGCTGGTTTCCTAGAGGGTCTTCTATTCTCAAGGTCTTTTCAAGGCCATACACTGATGACAAATTTGTATAACTGTGGGAGGCAATTACATAGAAAAAGATTAAGGTCAGTACCAAATTTCAGCTTTCTACCCTTATTCCTTCATGGTCAGATAAAAAACATCCTGTGGGTATATAATACATACACGGTACAAGACCCAACCGCTATGGATTGATGAAAAAATGTGTTTCGAGATCATGAATAGTTTTTCTTGGGTTATGGAGGTGAGCTCCTTGTGAGTCGAGACCGCACAAGCTGTTCCAGTTGAGGATTCAGGAGTAGAATGTCCTGTCGCCACACTTGCTGAGCCTCCCACTGGCTGTGTCTGTATTTTCTGTCCGTATTAAAATAGAGGCAGAAGAAATTGGTTTCTTATGCAGGAAGCTGCTGAAAATATCTTGGAAGGAATAGAAATCAAATGAAGGAGTACTTAATGAAGCCCACCGGGGACGCTCACTTCAATAAATAAAAATTATCAGGAAAAGACAAATTATGCAGTTTCTTTTGGGACATCTGAATAGACAAAGAGGTCTTGAACATCTTGCTCTCACTGGCAAAATTGAAAGCAAACGAGGCAGGGTAGGCCCAGAACAACTACTTAGAAAACCTAGACAGTCGGGGAACAGGGAGCAATTAGGGTAACGTGGCTTTGTTATAAGCACCCGAGCAAAGGAAGGAATGGAGAGCCATGATCGCCGATGTTTGCAGCAGATCTTGCACTTGATGATGATGATTAACTTTTTGATCACGCGTTATATAAGTTCACAGTCCCACTCAAAGGCTCTTGAACTAAGCACCACATTAATATCATCTGCAATGGAAGTGTGCAGTAGCTAGATATATTCTCAGATGACAAGGGGTTAGCAACTGGAAAGACATCAATACGTGATGTACAAAGCAAACGTATAATTTATAATAGAGTAACAGTTAACCAACAACTTTGTTTTTTGTCAGATTTTTTACCCGTGACGAAAGTATTAATCGCTTCGAATTTTCAGTTATGTGATTGATTTGTTGCCTTGATGATGTTATGATTGTTTGATTGATTGATTGATTGATTGATTGATTGATTGATTGATTGATTGATTGCTAGATTGACTGATTATTTCACTGATATGTTAATAAGCCAATGATTCATAGATTGACTGATTTCTATGGATCCCCCACAGAGAGCTTCGGCTACATGAGAGCATGTTACTACACCAACTGGTCCCAGTTTCTGCCATCGTCAAGCCGTTTTCTTCCTGGACGCATCCCTCCACAGCTGTGCACTCACCTGATTTTCGCCTACGCTGACATCCGGGCGACCAACATCACGCCTACAGAGTTCAACGACATTGAGATGTAAGCAGATTTTGGTTTCGAGTCACGACTTTACTCTCATTCCTAACAAGGGGTAAAATTCGACATTGGCCTTCCTACCTTTATTGATTTCTCGCGAACAGGTTTACAAGGTCAGGTTCATGGGTTGACAAGTTAGTCATATTAGTATACTCTCTCTCTCTCTCTCTCTCTCTCTCTCTCTCTCTGTCTGTCTGTCTGACTGTCTGTCTGTCTGTCTTCCTCTTTCCCTCGCTCCCTCTCTACCTCCCTCTCACACCCCCTCTTCTTCTTCTGTTCTCTCTATCTATCTATCTACCTATCTATCTATCTATCTATCTATCTACCCATCTGTCTATCTATCTCTCACTTTGTTGCTAAACATTCAGTGATTAAAACTGTCTTAATTTAATGTGTGGGAGAAGGAAAAGTACCATTTTAGTAATAAACCATTTACACAATGTTACGCATGTTGTCTTTTCAAATGCAGTGCTCAGCCAGACAGGTATGTGAATGAGTTTTTTTTTTATTGAAGAGTACGCAAACCGAACTCAAACTCATGCGAAGGCCGAAAGCGAACAAGGAGAATAAGCGGTAATACTGAAGAAAATTGAACGTAAACTTGAAATAACAACATTCGATTAACCAAGTCTGTATGACCGAATTGGATCAAAAAGTTGTTCTCGAAAGCACCAGAGGTCTGCGGATCCAGTCAGGCTGAATATGAATTAATGAAAAGAAGTTAAAAACTAGTTTGCCACCAAACAACACATTTCATCCCTGAGACAACTGCGTGAATGTTGATCAATCTTGCGAAGTGTGATCAGAATGCACTTACCGAACGGAAGCTTTTAGTTGATGATGATGATTATGATGATGATGATGATGATGATGATGATGATTTTTTTTTGTTTCCTTAATTGGCCTGGTGGACTCCTTAAAGAAATCTTCGAGCGAGATCGAGGTTCTTTTTTTCGGCTCCATTGTCAATGTACTTTGAGGTATCTCCACTCGTCCAAATAACTCCATTCGAATTGCCATTGTTCCTGGACATTCAAACATATGTTTGACCTCCTCCCTTTCATGGCCGCATCTTCGGCAACGTGGGCTGAGCTCTTCATTTACAAAGTTCTTATACCATCTCAAGCTCCAATGATGGTCCGACTGGCTAGCTCAACCTGGTCTTAGCGACCTGTGGTACTTTGTTTATGCTTATTGGAGTACCCAGAATACACATCTTCCAGGCGCTGGTACCTAGCTCTGCATGGTGGGTCTCGGATTTCCCTCTTTATTATTGGAAAGACTCATCTGTTTGTTTTTGGTCGTCGGTGTCCTTCAATCTCTCTGGCTTTATTAGCAGCTTGGTCTGCTGCCTCTTTTTTTTTCGATATAAACATGGCTCGGAATCCACTGGATTTTTATTGTGGCTGTGGCTTCACTGAACTTGCGCGCAAAACCTTTTATGTCTGAGCTGTTGCCTCAAGATCAGCACATTGGTTCTACTGTGGCAATTCTCAGCAATCCATTCTGCAGCAGACATCATTGCCTGGCATTCCTCATCATATGATAATGTAAGGAATGCACCTTTAGGTTTAATGATTTCTGTTTGAGGTGGTTCATCATTCATTATCATCACTGCTGCTGCACCACCTTTGCGGTATCCTGGTGATGATGATGATAATGGTGATGATGATGATGATGATGATGATGATGATGATGATGATGATAATGATGATGCTGCTGCTGCTGCTGCTGCTGCTGCTGCTGCTGATGATGATGATGATGATAGTACAGATCAAATTTGTCAAGGGGACCGTGACTATTTGATGGAATCGGCAATATAATGCTATCGATTTCGTCAAAAAGGGCGTGGCACTTACAGTGAGCGGCTCTGATAGTTTCCCGTTCACGCACGTCTTGGAGTCTAAACAAAGGACACACTGTGAGGGTCAGATAAGAATCAATGCGAAGAAAATATAGACTATTAGTTTGTTACCAAACAACACGTCAAGTCTTCCCTGACACAACCTCGGAAATGCTGACCTATCAGACACATTAACACCACAATAATAACAGGTTTTAGCGGACAAACGTAATCGCAGACTCAAGAATAAGAACAAAAGGATCTAGAAGTAACAAAAATGTTGCCTTACATTATCCCAACCTAGCTTTCCAGCCAGCACAGTTAGTTAAAGGTAATAACAATTAGTTTCAAACTAACCATTAAAATCAGTGGGCTACATAACATAGTTTGACTCGATGTAAGGCTTAACATCTGTTAATTTGTCATTTTTCGATTTGACGTTTTCAGTTGGCTTTTAGTCACTGGTGACTCTTTTACTCAAGCCTGTTCTTGCTGGGGATAACACCACCTTTACAAATAAATGTCACAATTCGAACAATTCTAATTAAAGCCCCGTCAATGTCATTCTGAGTTATTTGAACCTGACTGTCTGTCCGGAGACATCCAAGAAAAAATGAGATTCTCGGAACCAGTTGACAGTCGAAAATGACAGGTGGGGCCAGTAAAACGACGTCCAAAAGAAACAAACGCTTTTGCAATCGAAGACAGCATACATAAATCAACGTGGCGTAGAGGGTTATGTATCTGTCTCAGCATCTGGAGTATCTGGGTTCAATTTCCGGATAATTGCAACCTCTTCAGTGTGGAACGTTTATTGGTCCCTGGAAATTTATTACCCTGGCCTATCGCATCCAAAATTGATATAGGAAAAGTGTTTAAAACGTACCTCACCCCCTTTTTCCCTTCATCACGGAAAACTGATTCACCTGGGGTTGAACATAATTTATTTTATGAGTTTGATTCCACTTTTGTCCTAAGACATCAGTCCTCACTTCTCTTACACTACTCGTATTTATTTGCAAGTGCCAACATGTTGCCGTCTTTTATTAAACAACCCCCCCCCCTAAAAAAAACAAAAAACCCAAAAACTTTTAGTCTCGAAAAGTATCGCGAAAATATCGGTAAAAACAGCAGTAACCACAACAGCAGAACGAGAAACAGAAGCAGTACTCCTCAGAAAAAGCGACATCTGCTGAAAAGAACAACCCTTGTCCTGAAGCACATCAAGTCCCTAAAGTTCATCTTTATGGCGCCTGTGCAGCTTTTGTAGGCGTAGATTTTGATCAGACAGAATACCGTTTTCCCAACCGAGTTTTTTAAAGTCAACAATTAGATCTAGGAAAAAACGTTCTGGCTGCTTTACACCCGTAACATAGGAACACCATTCTAAACTCAAAGCACTTTAATTAAATACTTTCCAGCTAGATGTGTCCCACTCGCAACAAATTCCCATGTAGTTGGGTTTTTTTTGTTGGTGAGATTAAAGTATTTGAACACCGAACTTGTTACGGTACTTACAGACGAGCGCCTTATTATTATTATTATTAT